ATATTGTTCCTTCAGCCAGGATTTACATGTGATGACGGTACTAGGCATACAGTTGGACAGTATTGCTGAGGTATGGGACGTAGATATCGCTGCCATGCGCGACGGTGAATTCATCAAACAGGCCTTCGACTTCATCATCAAATCAAAGTTTGTGTCTACCGAGGCACGAGAGATAGTGTCAGCGGAAAGAGCAAACTTCGCCACTGAACGGCATAGTTCGATCGTAATGACGACGCTTACTGGCGGGGGTAACGTAGAGTACGATATGAGAGCGCCGACGATGAGAAACATCATGCTACAACGGCGGCTTTTCGTGACGAAGCAGGGATATATTGGGATTGGCCCAGTAGAGGCCCGGTCCCGTGATGTGGTCTTCATCATCTCTGGCTGCAATTTCCCGATCATACTTCGACCGAGAAAGGACATGTTCGCGGTTGTTGGTGAAGCTTACATGAACGGCTACATGGCCGGTGAAGCTCTGGCCCTGGCTCCGGCTCGTCCGTGGAAGAAGATCTCGATACTGTAGGACAAAACTATGAAGCATCAGTATTTGCTCGGTTCGAAGCTTATCTACCGTTCTAAGTATTCTGCTATCGTATAGCAGAGCTGCACGTTGAATGGAGGGCGTGTGACCTCGTCACGGTCTACTCCTTGTGAGTTAGTGCGGTGGCTGTGTGGGGTCCTCCTCGGGGCCCTGTAATAAGCTTCCCGCTTGGCCGACACGCAGCTGCCTCACTTCTTTTCTCAATTCTTTTGAGACAACCAACGCTACCTTCAGCAGATGGCAGCACGCATTGCGACGAAACTTAACCGATCAATATGGATAGCAACTGAGGTGGAGGGTTGGGAAGTTTCCATCGCTGCGCGCGCGCGCGATGGAGAGCGCGACGCCCAGTTCCTAAAATACGCGACTGCCGGCCTTCAACCCGGCGCAAGCCACGACACAGCACATCGAGCAGTTACACAACTTCGACGTGAGGCAATACAGCCCTCGTTATGACGATGCTGTCTGTAAGAGGGCAATTGTATGTGCCCACGTGTCTAAGAGGCTCTCACAAACCGGTGAAGTGCTCTGCGCGAGAAGCCATACGCGTATACACGTGCGAAATATAGGTGAAAAGACTGCTCCTTATATCTGTATCCCATCACTTTTCAGCACTCAAGACGCATGCTACTTTTCGTCTTGTCCTTTCTCTCCAGCCTCTCTCTCTTCCTGACATAATGGCATCGCAGCATCTCTGGACACTCTTACCTTTAACCTATCTCGTGCTTTTGTTCGCTCGCGCGTTACCTGCCTATGGCGTTTGCTACAGAAGCGATGGACTATTAGACATGGTTCCACGACCCTGTTCCGGGTCAAACATGTGTTGCTACCTCAATCGAACCGACGGCTATGCAGACGACGTGTGTATACAAGGCGCCTGTTACAGCGACTACTGGAAAGGGCAGTACTTCGTGGTCGCATGTACACATCAGAATTGGGATGAGGAAGGCAGTGGATGCAGTCCACTGTGGGAGGCTTGTGGTAAGCATCATCTTCGAGAACTTCTATCGCGGGGCACTGATTGTGAATGCTAGGTCGCCAACCAGATTATACCCACGTCTCGCCCTGTGGTGATGGTAGCTTTTGCTGCGGCAAAGGCAACGCTACATGTTGTAGTGACCATTCTGGTGTATATGTGAACGAAGACGGAACGAATATCATACGTTCAGACTCTGGCAAGATTGAGGATACCCCTTCATCATCATACGCGCCGCCCAGCACTCCAATTCCCACATCGTTGCAAACAAGTTTCTCCAAACCAACTAGTACGTCGGCGTCCAGCCAACTGTCAGAAACAGCGACAGCGGCTATTGCACCGTCATCAGATAACTCAAAAGAGGGACTAACGACTGACGCTAAAGTTGGGATTGGGGTTGGTGTGCCTGCTGTAGTTGTTGCGGCTTTTGGGGTGTGGATGCAATGCCGAAAATGGTTGCCTTACCGTAAGCGGTGGTCTCATCGTTGAAGGTGCCACCGTAGGAAATCCATATGTCTACGATGCCAACCAAACCGCAAATCCAAGCGTAGAGAACGATCTCAAGAAGAACGTAGCATGAGACCAATGGAAAGAATGCCAGTTGCCCAAATTGCCCTATGAACGCCAGTAGTAGCAGCTCTATCATCAGCTACCACAAAACCTCCATCAATCTGGCATGCATCAACTGCTCACAGTAATAAGGTTCAAGAACGCCTAGTAGATGCGATCCCCAATCATTGACGAACCACTCGATGTAGAATGCCTTGGCGAACTCCCAATATTCCGGGTACCACCCTGACATCTCCCAGTCGATGATCGCAGCCACCTGACCATCTTTCACGATGATATTGTCAGGTCGGAGATCCCCATGAGTGAAGACAATACCATGCTTATGTGCATTGACCATGCCACGAATGTAAGAGCCAACCTGGCCTTTGGACTTGGCGATAAAGGCGTCTATGATTGTAGCATTGAAGTCTCCTATGCTTCTGAACGGACCTAGGTATCTCGTCAGAGATGCGCTGCTAGTACTTGGAATTGGTGTAACAGCTGACCTCGAGAAGATGTTGACCATTCTAAAATATTATCAGTGACTGGTCCTTCGTCCACAGATCCGATGTAGTTCGCTGGCGGAAGACAGCGCAGCTCTTCCATGTGCTTCTTGAGATCCGCCGAGATTGCTTGCTTCTCAGTAGAGGTGTGTTGATCCCATGACTTCCCTAAGTCTTCGCCTTCGATAAACTCCATGAAGATATATACATCGTAGACGGTCGCATGATCATTAAGGTCTCGATCTATGGGTCCGTATGCATATGCTGCATATAGTTTTGGGACGGGAATCGATGTCTTTTCAGCCACATACAGCATGTTCTTAGCTTCGATGAGAGAAGCATGGTGCCCCCATTTTACTGCCATCGTTGGTGACATCTTCGCGACCATGCCAGTAATACTCTCTGGGTTCGATGCGTGGAACTGTTCTGGAGTAATGAGTTCATGTCCTGGGTCCAGGTATTGCACATGGATCTGTGGGCTGGAAGGCATTGAACTGAACAGCTCGGGCATTGCGGCTGCTTGATACGCAACGATAGGCTAGTAACTTACATGAGTAATACAACACACATCTACGAACTTTCACTTACATGCTGCACCTCATTCTTGAACACTACCATCTTGGAGCGGCCTGTGCTGGCTTTCATCAGAAGGGATCAGCTATTCTATTATCCGCTCGAAGCAGCACCGCAGATAATGTCGATCCTATTGTACGAAGCTTTGGCAGCGAAGAAACAAGCATCAGATAATTGATGTTAGTGCGGCGACATCTTTTAGGTACTTCGTAATGCGCAGTTTAGGAACAGACAAGAGAAGGTACGCTGCGCTGCGCTACGCGGGGTGCCGGTGCGGGGCAGCCTTCTTGCCTAGTCTGCCCGAGGAATTACCGCGACATGGCAGATTCAGTACGCCCACTCCCACACCATCTAGATCAACAGTCACAAAGTTCCCACAGATGATATGAGCGAATGCGAAATGCCGTCCGTATCTACATGAATCGAAGCGCTGTCCACATTGCAGCAGCATGGGGCTCGAAGACTAATACACGGGGAGATGTAATGGAAAGATCTCCGAGAAAACAGCGAAGGAAGGGCACGCAAGGGCCGCTAACATGCATTGTTCTCATACAAGAACCGTTACTGCTCTTGTTCTACTGAGTCAAACCCTAGGTAGCGATAGCGCATGCCATTTAGAGATAAGCATTGCGTACCTCATACATCGCCTACGCAGATACGCTTCTACGACAAACACGTTACGTCATGCCATTCCAATCAACCAAGGACGAGCTGCAACAGAGAGAACATCTCAACCATTAAGAAGGCATTGCGATGTCATAAAAGACAGTAAAGTCGTTGTCTTAGACGTTACTAATCATTCTGCTCTAGGCCTCATGCGCAATTAGCAGTGCGCAACAAGACAACATTTTCCAGTCGCATGAGGACGTGGACTTCTGGAAGGAAGATACCCGTTATCTGAAAGGGCAACCTTTGCAGTAGAAGTACCGGTCGCGCTCCAAGTATTGACCACGCCCTTACTTAACACATGTATGAGCATCTGGCAAAATGCATACTCCCGCCAATCAGCGCGCTTTGAACGAATCAGCTCACCTACCATCTTGGGGTCTGATCCTCACCAGTGTTCAGTCTGACCGGCTTCAGCTTTCTGTCTTTCTCAGTCTTTGCACCTTCTATAGGCTTGCTATGCGAGCTGTGCCCTGTCCGGTGGCGTCTGGATTACCGTATGCGAACGCTGCTCGCATGACAGCCCATACTGCAGCCATGAAGGACGAATAGGCCGCTAGGGGGCCCTTCACTGGATCATTCAGGGCATATCTTGCCATACCCGTTGCAACTGCGTCATAACAGCAATATATGTCTTGGGTTGCAATTACTTGGCGTTCCTGGGTCTGCGATAGCCAGCTCTTAAGCATGCTGGGTGCCTGGGGGCTGCTGCGCACACGTTCGTAGGTTGACATCTCAGTCTGATCTCTTGTTATCCTTTCCTCTGCGGCCTGAATTTGCTGTCGATTCTCCGTTCTCTCATACTCAAAAAGAGGTTTTCGACATGGCAGATCCCAGCTATGCAGCAGCTGAGCCGGGCGACTTCTTCTGTCCAGATGGTGGTACTTGGTGCGTCAACAATCTGACATCAGAATGGACATCACCTTCAACACGAACGCGTGACTCAATGGCGCTACCAAGCACGAAACTGACAGTAATCAGGTACGTGTGCGAGACAGGCACAAAGTTCGTCGGGTGCTGCATGTCGGATCCGTGCCAGCATGCCTGCTTCGGCGATGCACTGAAACCAGCGGGTCGTAATCCAAGACTCAACAATATCTCGCCTGGCGCATCATGTGGTGGTACAACACCCTTCTGGACTTGTTCAATGGCTCCGACATTCTATGGATGTTGCAATGAAGATGCGTGCATGAACAACTCGACATGTCCAGAGGGGCAACTAGAGCCAGCGTTCTGGGACCGACCCGACCAATACTACTACTTCCATGACCTGAACGTTGCGCTTTCGTCCACTGTTCCTGCGCCCACGGCATTTTCAACTGCTGTCAGCACATCTGCGCCCGCCAGTGATACGCCTACAGCCACAGCTTCCGCCAGTTCCGAAGGAGTCTCTGGCGGGGTCATTGGAGGTGCCGTTGGAGGCTCACTCGCTGGTCTCATTATCATCGCCGCAGTCGTGTTCTTCCTGTTTCGCCGCCGGCGCAACAAGAAAGCCAATGCCGAAGCAGAGGCAGCCAATGGCCAGGTGATACCAAAAGCCGAACTGGCATCGCCTACAACAACAACTGGTCTCGCTCCGTCAAACGGATTCTCACGTACGCTTCTATGCCATGAAACAGATGAATCTCATTACTGACTGTGTATAGCACCGCCCACGTATTCTTGGGACACTTCTGGCCACGAACAGAAATGGGCACAACACCAAATTGGGGCTGGAGAAATGATGGGAGATACAAGAAACCGTGAGGTAAATGCGAAATGCGCCGATAGCTATGGGCCTGCCGAGCTGTATGGGGCTCTACCGGCAAGAGAGCTTGAGTCGCCAGAGTACACTCCGAAAGTAGCGCAGGGACAGTCCGCCGATGAGACGTCGAAGCAGCGCGAAGATCGCTCGGGTGCCACTAGCGATGAGAAAGCGGCAGCTGTGAACGCGCAAACGTAAAGCACTTTTCGCTGTCTATGAATAGAGAGACTGAAGCATCGCACGGCTCTGTATGTTAGGATCTTGGAAACCATCATGTAATCGACTCCACGCTAACGACGATGCGCGACGCTTTCGCTTTCTTTGTGCCATCACGACCGATCCGTGTACGGCCAAATTCTCCTCATCTCCTCCGGCGTCATGCCAAATTCACTGCTCCTGCGCACGAACTCTTCTAGCAATTCTTTGTTCTGCTTTTGTTTCGCAGCGAAGTCAAACATCGGGTTGATCCAGCTTTCGAAATCCGTGCCAAGGATTCCCCTCGCAAATTCGTGTACTTTTTGGTAGTTACTGTATTTTTGGAACTGTTCCTCGTGCCTTTCCAGGTCCTCTTCCCCGAAGTTGAGCGGACACTCGCCTTTGAAGCCGATCTTATTCCATACAGCAGCAATCTCGATGAGACATGCGCGAAGCGATATCTCACCCTCTTCCGAGACTTCTCCACACCGCACGAAGAGCTCTGGGAGGAACGATGGTATCTGCAAAGCCTCCCAAGCGTCCATATTGTTAGATGCACTGCCGACTTCGTACACTTTTGCCCATTTATCCTGCTCGAATTTGTGCTCAGCCAATTCCTTATCCTTAGCATCCATCTCATCCAGACCGGATGGTGGCTCTGGGAGCTTCATAGTACCCAATTCGTAGTCCTCGTTGACGGTGAGAAATTCCGGGAATCGTACTTGTAGTAGCAATGGCGAGACTACAATCGACTGCTAGTCGATGATGGACGTGATTTGTGGTGGATTTTGCCCTGAGACGTAGATATTACCCATGTGGAGATCTGTGTGCCATAGTAATGGTTTGGAGACTTCCCCGATGAGTGCGCACTCGTGTAGTCGGGACATGACCTGTCTGGTCATATTGAGAGCATCGACCTGCTCATCGAAGGTCCCTCGCGGTGAACCAGATGTTATTGCAGAAGAGCGCTTCTGCAGAATAGCGAGCTCCCGTTCGACTAAAGCCGTTCCAAACGAAGATACACTTGTCCCTAAATAGTAGAGTTAGCTACGGTACGAACCACCCAAGATATGTGCTTACACGGTCCCGGGTTCAAGTGAGGGCGCACAGCCGCAGCTCCGTCTGGAGCATGCCACCCTCGCTCACATGATGGGCCTATACAAAATTCCCCGGAAGGATCCATCTCTTGATCGAGAGGAATGTAGGTATCGGTTTCTACCATGGATTTGGAAAGGTAAAGACTTCCGCTTGCTGGAAGTCGAATCTCGGTCATTTGACCCTCAAATTCGGTCAACTGACGTAGGATGCAATACCGATCCCAGTCATTTAGATCACCCCATACTTCGAATTGCTGAACCCCGGGAGCCTTATCCATCATGATGTACTCAGCACCGACCGGATTTGACCGATCAGCGTTCCATGCTAAAACTTTCGGTGCTGGGACTTGAGTATACTTGTTTACTGCCAACAACGATACGATGAGCCGATGTCACGCAGGCTTTCCAGAACAACGGGGACGTACGGTATTTGAGAACAGCTACCTCCGAAGCCGTGGTGTACTTGGGCGGCCCTGCGATAGGAAAGGGTATCTTCGCAACGATCTCACTGCCATCTTCTTTGCGTAAAAGAAGTGCTTTGCTGAACCCTCCTTCCATCTTGTCGATCGCGCAGATGGGCGAATGCGGCCCACCAGTAGTCGCAGCTACAGCACAAAGCTGGTCTACGTCGAACGTCACATATCTGCGATCAACCGCTTTTTTCTCGTTTGCTAAGAAATGTCCGTTCGTGTACTTGAACACGTCCTCGCGATCGATCGGCTTGCCTGCTTTGGTTGGCTTATTGACGAGGTTGGGACCGCGTAGTAGTTACCCCGACATGTTATGGTGAGGGCTCGAGAGGCCTGGGTCGCGGCAAGACGTGCATTGAGCCGAAACGAATGTCGCTGTATAATGCTGGGTCGAAGCGCTAATAGCATGACTGCATCGTCATGTAGTATCTCGGAAGGCCACAGAGCACCCAGGTATCGGCTGCGCTGGGTGACGCGCTCGCGTGCGCTCCACGCTAGCCCCGCGTCGCGAACCTTGAAAGCCGCGCACTTGCACTCGGCTGTTGTCCAACCCGGGCGGCTGCGCAGAGGAACGTAGAACGCAGGCTTTAGCTAAAGAACGAACGACGAGCAGCGGATTCGATTAGAATCGTTTGAAACAGTTACCAAGAATTATATTGGGCGAAGATAGTAAATAACTTCGTGAAGTTCATGACAACGATCGCAGGGGCGTTAAAAAATACAGTAACAGAGACGCCAAAAAACACCTAGCGACTGACACCTTACATCCGAATCCAGCTCGTCATCTTCTGACCGTCGTGAAAGTGTTGCGCGACATGATCCATCCTCTTCGCAGTAGTCTCAAGCATACATCCGCAGAACCCACACCAGCGCGAGCCAGGTCCTCCAGGCGACATCTTCAATTCTCTTGACCATTCCTTGGGTACCTCGAATCTCTTCTTGGTCGAAGCAGGTGCATCTGCGAGATGCGCAAGCAAGATGTGCTGTTTGAGAAGATCCTTACGAGGAAAACTACGTTCGGCGGTGCACTTGTGCGAACAAGTATCGATTGCATGCCTGTCAAGATGATAGATCGAATCCATTGGCTCCAAGCAGAAGACACATTCAGCCTGCAGCTTGAAAGCGTCAGTCAACACGCAGATCCACTCCCGATCGTTGTAGCCGTGCACACTAGCCTCATGCCTCTTCCACCCGGAAGCGTCTTTGAAGGCCTTGACACATACAGTGCAAGGAAACCTTTTGTCGAGTTCGTGGGGAATAGAAGAAGAGGTTGTATTTTGTGTCGCGAAAGATAGTTGCTCGTTCGTGCCGTGTTGTTGTCTCTGAGCGTGATACCTCCGGCCTTTACGCTTTGGAGCGGACACGCTGAAGGGTGCCTGATGCGCTAATTCTGCTTCGGAAGATTGGAAGACCTGGGTTTCAGCATCTTGATTGTGATCTGACGTAGGATAGCCTGAATCAGACGATGAAGGCCATGGACTGCTGTCGCTCGTGTTCGTTGCGGGCGGTTCGTCAGCGCAAGAAACGAAGCCAGGTTGTGCGTAGCTTGACTGAGACGACATATCGGCGCGCAGCCCAGTATCGGTGGAACTACTGCCATCTCGTATGTTGGAATTGCCTTCAAACACTAGATGCATTATTAGAAGGGTAATGGGAACATAACGCACAAGCTTACAGTGCTTTTCCCGGGCCCGAAGATTCCTGAAACAGACATTGAGTTGATGCTCAGAGCATCCGGCAGATGCAGCAAGCGCCGCTTTCTCTGTTGGGGTGGGATAAGGTCGAGATGCATGATCGGAAAGCCAGCGCCGAACGATTTGCACTCGGTGTTGACATGCAGACAGGTTGGGGTGCATTTGACATGGCTCGTTTGGCGACGTTGAGATCCGCAGATGGACGTCTGGCTGTTCCATGGTACCTGCATGCGCAAACTCTAAACCTTGCATGTCAAAGTCAAAGCCGGGAACATCTGTATACATGTATTCCTCAGCAGGATCGTAGCCACTAGACACATCGTGTGAATACCAAACGTTCGACAAAATATTTTCATCTTGCACGTCTTCGCCATATTGGCTGTCCAAAAGAGACTGGGGCGGCTGCGTAGCGATGACACTGAGAGTGTTGTCATGTTCTATATCACCTAGGGAAACGTAGCCATTGTGCGGGGTATCCTGAGTAAAGTAGCTGGTCCAGCTATCGACTTGCGGGACGTGACCATCAACATCGAGGAAGCTGCCGGACTCAGAATATGGATTATTAGCGTTGTGATAGAAGGCATCCTGCCCATCGACGTTTGAAGCGGCTTCGTTCCAGATGCTACTAGTGCGTAATATTGTCAGTACCGTACAAATGGATCTCAAAGCTGCAACTGCAATTGACGCTCTGCGTGCGCAGCTCAATTATTGTAGGGAGCACCCTTGCAAACTGATACGTGAGGCTAGAATACGTGATGCTCTGTTAGAAGAAAATTGCGAATACCTTTCGTCGCTGCAATTCACAAACTCGGGGTGGGCTGATGTTGTTGCTGCGTCGAGAAACTAGGTAATCGTATGTTAGCAAGGCAGATGAGAAAGGGTCAATGAAATATAGGGCGATGATTGGCCCAGAATCACACCGGCGCAGAACAAGTACCTAGGTAGGCTTCACTCACGTTGGTTGGGTCGGCCATCGGAGGCGAAGGGGTCGTAGCTCTGCCGCTAAGCCTTTTCTAGTCAATCTGAGCACAGAATCGAGCACAACACAACAACAAACGTTCAGAAAGTGATTTCGAAAACGGAGAAAAGGTAGTAGAGTTTGAATAGGTCTTGAGAGCTCATTTTTAGCTCAAATGTTGAGTTTCAAGGCGTTACAGCGAAGACTTGCGAAATGGCAAAACTATTGTGTACTCTCTAACTTGATCTGGTTAGTTTACAAACCAGAGTCGACTTGTGCGCCTGGGCATGGGCAGTGTGCTGGTCACGTGACGATGAGCCCCCGCCCCCGCCACCCAGTCCGCAGTGTTCAGCCTCCACCACTTGATGTATTGCTCTTTTAAAGATATGAGTTTCTGGAAAGATGGAACTCATTCTCAAGCTGCATTGAATTCTCTGATCCTCTTGACTTTCTTGTAAACTACGACAAGCCAGTTATGGTCTCGACGAGTGTTGGAGTGTAGAACAGCGTACAGCAACCAAGCTTGAGTTACGTAGCTATCAGAATGAGGCGTAAAGAGGGCAAGAGAACGTAGCAAGTACCAAATTGTTGAACAAATATCATATTCTTCTCATGACCAAGTCACTACATCATCAATATATACAAGCGATCATCTCCGATCCCACCCCGATCTAAGCCTTCTCAGCAGCAGCAAGAATAACATCCGCCGCCTTCTCCGCAACCATGTACGTAGACACAGCAGTAAAGGTACCAGGAATCTTAGGGAAGACACTGGCATCAACAACCCTCAATCCAGTAACACCACGGACCTGGAACTTGGAGTCAAGAACAGCCATCTCATCGTCATCAGCACCAATTGGGCAGGTAGACGAGCAGTGGTGACCCCAAGCAGTGTCCTTGGCATACTGAGCAATCTTCTCGGGGGTGTTGGCGTCCTTGCCGGGGAGGACTTCGTCAATGGGGACGAGTTGGCGCTTGAAAGAGTCGCGGGCGAGGTCGACGGCCTCAGTGAGGGCAGTGAGATCCTTCTCGTAGTCGCCAACACCGGTGTCGAAGTAGTTGTAAGTGATCTCGGGGACGTCGAGAGGGTCGGCAGAGCGGAGCGCAACGGTTCCGGCGTTGTTGCGCGGGTGCGCCTTGAGGATGGCCCAGGTGAACCAGTCGTGCTCGGAGGTGGCGTTGTAGCTGTAGCCGGGGAAGTAACCGCGGAAGTTGACGGGGCCACCGAAGGCGAAGATGTCGTACTCGTCGCGCTCGGAGACGCTGGACTTGTAGAACATGGTCGCACCGAGACCGGGGGAAGCGTAGATGCCGCGGTTGCCGAGGATGGATTTCTCCCAGCGGTCGATGCAGGCGTCGTCGTCAGTGTTGCCGAAAGTGCAGCCGTTTAGGGCGGAGAAGTCTGAGGGAGCCTTGCCCTGGACGTTGATCTCGTAGTGGTCTTGGAGGTTGGTTCCGACACCGGGGAGGTCAGCAACGACGGGGATATCGAACTTGTTCAGCTCGTCGGCTGGGCCGACACCGCTGAGCTTGAGGAGTTGGGGAGAGTTGTAGGTTCCGCCGGCGACGATGACCTCCTTGGAAGCGGTGGCGGAACCGGGCTCACCAGCTGCGCCGGTGTTCTTGGGGCTGGCCTTGTAGAGGTACTGGCCGTCGAGGAACTCGACACCGGTAGCGCGGGGAGGAGTAACGTCCTGGTCGAAAGTGATCTTGGTGACGTGGCAGTTGAGTCTGACATCGAGAGGGTACTGCTTGCTGCCGTCCTCGTTCTTTGCGTCACGGACAGCGAGAACGAACTCGCGGGATCCAGTGCGCTTGCCGTCGGTGGTGGAGAGAGGGATTTGGTAGAGAGCGTTGGACTTGTCACGGCTCTCGGTGTCGGCGTTGGCATCACCAGCAATAAGAGTACCAAGGTTGACGATGGCGTTGGTCATGTTGGAAAGGGCGAAAGCGGCACCGCCAACCAAGCTGAGAAGCTTGGGGTCAGAGGTGACGATGTCGATGGGTGCGTACGAGGTTCCGAGCCATCCCTCGTAGCCGTGACCCTTCTGGCCGGGGAGGAGGTAGTGGTTGTGCTCGAGCTTCTCGAAGTACTTGCGCATGTTCTTGGCTGACCAGGAGTCGTCACCAGTGATGGCAGCAACATTGTCGAAGTCGGACTGGTGGGGGTAGACGGCGATGAGAGCGTTGTGGGCTGTGCATCCACCGAGAGTACCGGTACGAGGGTAAAGCGTACCCTTCATGGTGGAACCCTCAGGTGGGCTGAGACCTGTGTACTCGCCTCCATCGACAGTCTCGTAGGAGGTCTTGTAGTCGCGAGCTTGGCGCTGCTCATCAGCGTAGTGCTTGACGTAGAAGTTCCAGCTCAGGTTGGGGTCTTCGGAAACCCTGGCGTTGAAAGCAGGAATGGTGTAGTTCTGGCTGGCACCCTGGTCGTCACCGGCTTCGATAAGAAGCGTCTTGTGACCGGCAAGGGCGAGGCGGGCGGCCAGAGGCTTTGGATATTGTCAGTATTTGTTACATCCAGTCAGGTATTCTTGAACTTACACCACCACCTGCACCAGAGCCGACGACTACGTATTCATAGCCAGTCAGATCGACAGCTACCGCAAGGGAAGCGAAGGCTGCGACTGTGTAGCCAATTACGCGGGGGAAGAACATGGTGATTAGGTATTACTTTGCTGTTCGGGTGGGTATTTAAAGAAAGAATGACAGAGGCTGTAAAGTGGCCTGCTTGATCCTACCCTGTGCAGCCTTGCTGACCTTTATATCGTTTACGAACCGCGTAGGTCGGCATCCCCCTATTTTCCGGTGGTGGCTTGCAATGCCGAACGACTTCTACCTCGGACGAAAAACCATTGGCGAGATACTTACCAAACAGGTGGTGTTCAGTAGTCGCGGTGGTTGATCCCTTCTTGGTCTGGAAAACAATGCTTTCATTCGGTCCGGCACGTAGATCATACGGGTCCTTCTAGGGTACCTTGCAGGTTGCAATTTGCGCCACGGGACGGAACCATTGGGACCTGGAGACCGACAACAGCGCTCATGGATCCGTGAGCTCAGTAGCGTTGATGGTCGTGTTTCTTTCGAAACAACGTATCTCATAGCGGCATGTGTACAGTCTGCTTCAGTCGCTTTCAATCTTTCGCCGTTCATCGTGGTACCTAGGTATCCACGGAAGTTGTGGCAACACGCATCCGCGGAGTGAAAACGCTTTCCCCGTTGCGTCCCGCACCGACCCAGAAGTCCAGGTCAGGAAATGATGATTTCTCCTGTCAAGGACGCTTACCCTGGTCTGCCTATTCCTAATTGCCGGACGTTCCTCCCGCTTCGGAAGGGAACTCCACGGGTGTGGAGTCAACGGCCAGGGACAGCGGACGCTAGCGCCTAACCCGTGTTAGCAGCAACGCGCATTGAAGACTCTCTGGACCTGGGCTTCACGATAGGCACTGCGATGGATGCGAACGGACATAACGTGGCTCTGTAGATTGCCGACTTCTTCGCCGAGAACGATGACGGAATACCACGTGGTGCGAGATGCACTGCCGCAGGAACCGCCTGTTTCTTTTTCGCCACGAGGCACAGAGCGAACTGACTCAACTACGACTCCACCCACCGTACGAACGCCATGTTGAATTCGGCATTCGGCTGACTCCACAACACCTTCTAATGCTCGTTCTAGTCGCATGCGTTAAGGCCTACGTTCTGTCGCTCGGTACCTGCGCCTTCTCGAAAACTCCCCTATCTGTTATTCCCGCGTCTATGGTTGGCCCGGCCACACGGCATCGGCAATGCTCCTGACGAGTTGCAGCTTCTTCCTCATGTCTTCGTAACCGAGCGAATTGCCTTCCGCGTGTGATGCGAAACCGCATTGTGGGCTGACGCAGCACTGCTGAATGGCGTCCTCGCGCGATTGGCCGGTGCCCTTTGCAATCCAATCAGCGGCCTGGTTCACCCTGGCGATCATCTCGTCCTTGTCCTCGAGCTTGGGGAATTTCGATGTGATTACACCAAGCACGACGTTCTTGTGCTTGGGAAGATGCGCTAGCGGCTCGAATCCTCCGGCACGTGGTGTGTCGTATTCCAAATAGTATGTGTCGACGTTCAAGTCCTACCAAGATCAGCACTTCATAACTGTGAACAAGGAGATGAACGTACCTGGAACATCTTCTTTGCGATGTTGTCGTATGCGCCTTCAGAGAAATGTCTGCTGCCTACGTAGTTACCGCGGCACAGGTGGATGCCGAGATGCATGTCCGCAGGGCGTTCGAAACACTTGTTATAAAACTTGACATAGGCATCAAACATCTGGTCAGCAGTCTTCTCGTTAGTTGTGTCAGCCTTCCAGCCTGCAAGCATGTCTTCCGAGCAGAAGTAGGCCAGGTTGGGATCATCGATCTGGATGTTCCTGATACCCTGTGCGTGGAGGATCTTAAGCTCCTCCTGGTATGCCTTTGCGACGTCCTCGAAGTACTCCTCGTCGTTCGCATAGACCTCCTTGGGGTACGCTCTCCCGCTCATGTAACGGAAGTGGTACCAGGATGGCGAGATCAGTGTGATTTTGATGTTCTTCCACTCGCTCTCGGGTAAAAGGCTCTTCATCAGGTCCACTTCACGCTGGTTGCTTGAAGTGCCAGGGTGTTTGATCTTGTCGACACAGACGGTGACATGGTTAGGCACCTCCTTCGCTTCCATGAAAGACTTGACGTCCGGTGCATAGGCGCGGAACATGTCCTTGTTGTAGCCCTTCAAAACGCCAAGCTGGAGTTCCTTCATGCCATGAAGTGTTTCGAAAAAGGTGCCCCAGAACATGTGCCTGCATGAAAGGTCAGTCTAGACTCGGACTAGTAGCATCGGGACTATTGACCTAGTGTACTCTCCGCTCGACACAACCTTCAGTCCGCAGTCCTGCTGGAACTTGACGACCTCTGCGACAGACTTGTCTTCCAAAGGAACGAGCTCCTCTGGCTTCGATTTACCAGAGGCAACATCGTAGCGCTTCTGCACAAGCTCCTGGGGGCGGAGCAATGAGCCAACGTGCTCGGCGCGGAATGGAGGGCTTCTCTTGAGTGACGACATCTTCAATGCGATAGTATGAATAGCTCAGGAAAGAACGAGTAATCAGAACGAAGCAATTGAACAGAAGAAAACTTTGCCCCTCATCATGTCCACTTGCCCCGCAATCACACGCCGCTCATTAATGACCGTTGGACCCTTTCTCAGCCCCGACATATCCATGTTCAGACGCCGGGAGCAGCTAAGCGAGGCTTAGAGGATGGAGCGTCGATGGGATTGGAAGAGTAATTGAGGGTGGCGGGTAAGCCATGTGGGAGGCATCTCAAGCTATGGTGGGGCCCTTGCTCGATAAGAGGCGCGCCACCCGATGTGACGCCGAGAGCCATGTGGTTACAAGGAAACTTGGAAGCCGCGAGCTTTCAAGTCATCATTTCCTCACACGACTATATCTTAATTGCGATTGCGCGCTGTCGGTTTCCAAGTTATCGCAACGCACGAGAAATCCGCGAACACAATCTGGGTGTGCAGGCGCGCAAGGCGCTAAAAGGCAGCTTCGACCAATCGAACATGAAGATATGGCTATGCTGTGGGGTGTATTGGGAGGTCCACAGTCCCTTTGGAAAACCGAAGAGACCGGAAGCTGCAGATCAGCAATTGTTCGCTGTACCACGAGAAGGCGACACGAAGACGCAGTATGCCCCACCAAAAGTATCCCATCGATGAAAGACGGGCATGACGCAATACTCTGGAGAACGAGCCGCGGATATACCCACGAACGAACGCAAGTTTCGTAAGCGACGGCGGCAGTTACAACGGCGAAAGAGAGTAAATCCGAATTTCGGGGAAGCTCTACCCCGCGCTAGGTGGGATGTCATAGCTACATATATGCTGTCATTCCCGCACAGCTTCCAGTCTAGACTTTGACGCCCTAAACACCTAAACACCAGACTTTACTTTCTACAAACAACATGACAAGGGTACTACTCACAGGAGGAAGCGGCTTCATCGCTGCGCACACCCTCGATATTCTCCTAGACCATGGGCACAGTGTAGTCACCACGGTGCGCACCCAGGAGAAGGCGGACAAGATCAAGGAATCATACAAGAGCTACGTCGACAAGGGCCAATTGAGCTTCGCGATTGTTCCGGATATCGCTCAACCAGATGCTTTCGAGAAGGCTGTTATCTCAGACCCTCCATTCGAGGCTGTGCTTCACACTGCCAGCCCGTTCCACTTCAATGTCACTGATGTCCAGAAAGTGAGTGTTTTGGGAAATTGAAACACCAGATAGCTGGCTAACACGACGAAGGACCTGATTGACCCTGCTGTCATTGGAACAACTGGCATCTTGAAGTCGATCAAGAAGAGCGCGGTATGTTGAGTCCGAAGAGTGTACAACTTCCATTCGCATGCTAATGATACCGTGTAGCCATCCGTCAAGAATGTTGTCATCACATCCTCGTTCGCCGCCATCGTAAACGGAAGCAAAGGTTTCTGGCCAGGACACGCATACTCCGAGGAGGACTGGAACCCTATCACACAAGAAGAGGCCACGGAGAACCCGATGATGGGATACAGAGCGAGTAAGACGTTTGCTGAGAAGGCTGCGTGGGAGTTCGTTGAGAAGGAGAAGCCCAACTTCACCGTCTCCACGATTAACCCACCGATGGTCTTTGGACCGATTGTAAGTCTTGCGATGCACTCTTCAACTCAATCGCTAACATGCACCAAGGTTCACGCTCTTGACAGTCTCGACAACATGAACACCTCGAACCAGCGCATCCTATCGGCGGCACAAGGCAAGTTCAAGGACGAGATCCCACCCAGCGGTGTACATCTGTGGGTGGACGTTCGCGACGTCGCGGAGGCACACGTAGCTGCGTTCGAGAAGCCCGACGCAGCCAACAAGCGCTTCTTCGTCACGGCCGGATACTTCTCCAACAAGGAGCTATGCCAGATCATCAAGAAGAACTTCCCCGACTTCAAGGACCTGCCGAGCGACTCAACACCAGGCGGCGACTACCCTGAAGGCACACCTGAGAAGGGCCTCTACACATACAACAACAAGCGCTCCATCGATATCCTTGGCCTCAAGTATAAGACTTTCGAGCAGTCGATTGTCGACTCTGTCAAGTCTTTCCAGAAGAAGGGATTGTAGATGGTAGCATCGATTATTCGGAAGGATAGATGAACGGCAATAACGGTATTCGATTGGCTATGTACACTATTTGGGCGGCGCGCTTGTTTGAGCGGCAAAGCATCGGTCGCGTGCATGGCAATCTGAAGAAGACTGTTAGCATATGCAATCTCCATGTAATAGACAATACAGAGTGTGTATGGGCAATCAGCCTGTTGAGCTTGAAATTTTTTGGACTTCACCGTCTTTGACTCGGAAGTTATCGTTTGTGTTGATCATCATAATGCAGGGAGTTGGGGGAGATGGTGATGACTTACCGATGAGTAATGCGACGCGACGCTGGCCACAACATGTGTGCTGCATGAAGCTGTTGATGGGCCAGCGTTGGTGTGAGAGGAAAGAGCAGGCGCGAAGCCTCGAAGAAAATGGCAGGCTTCGGCTGAAAACCGGGCCGAACTCTTCCAAGCCTAGCGGCTGCCCCACCAACGAAGCCCATCGATGGCGGGCAGTGACAGCAAAAGCCCAAACACTTTCTCGAGAATTCCACGTCACATCGCTCTATCGTCGTCGCGTACCTCCCAGCCACCCCGTAGCCAGCTCTCTTCTTGATCAGACAAGCCACGTTCGAGAAACCGCAAAGATGTGTAAGTTGCCTACCACTACCCCACCACCGCCTCGATGCGCACTCGGCGGACGTGCATAGCTTCCGGTTGTAGGCGCAAGGCTGTACTGGGAAGATGTGGGAGATCTAAGACATGGTCCAATGTTCACGTTCATGTCGCAACGCTATGTGGACAATGCAGAACTGACTCTTCCACAGCCGACTTCAACGCCATCGCCCGTATGTACCACCAGATGCAGCAAGCACAACCCCGCCGACATCCTCTCCACGATCGCTCCATCCATCAAACCGCGACTGACCCTTGCCCCAGAGCAGTTCGTTCAGTTCTACTACAAGACTTTCGATGAGAACCGCGCTGGTCTCGGTGCCCTCTACGTATGCGACTCAATACCGTGTGCGCAAAGCAGCAGTCGGCTGACAAATGCTATAGAAGGAGACTTCTATGCTCACCTTTGAGGCGCAAGGCACTCAGGGTTCCGCTGCCATTGTAGAGAAGCTCCAGGTAACGACGATTCTGCCTACAAAACAGGGACGGGGCTAATGCAGGGAAGAACCTGCCATTCCAGCAGATACAGCACCGTACCGACACTGTCGACGCTCAGCCTTCCGCTGATGACGGTATCCTTGTGCTCGTCACCGGTGCGCTTTTGGCAAGTCGTTCCCATGTATCGTTACATCCGGCCTTGACTAATACTGAACAGCTTGCGGGCGAGGACAAGCCAATGAGCTTCACCCAGGCCTTCCAGCTCAAGAACGCTGATGGCAACTGGTTCGTTCTGAACGACGTTTTCCGTCTCGTATACCCCGCCGCGTAGGCTATCCGCTCGCTGTTGAGCGTGATTTCACCACGCCGGTGACTTTGGGGCGTGCATAGAGAGTCACTGAGTCTTAGCGACTTTGAACACGACTGACGCGATTTTCTTACGAGTTTTGAGCATTTTGGCGGAGGCAACATAGGTGCGGATGGGATCGAGGATCGATGCTTGACGCAGTCATCTTTGGGAGTGTAGCTACTCACGAGTTCTACACAGGTAGATTGAGCTAAATCTTCAAAATCGACTTGCCTTCTTTGCAGCCTCCTACAGCGTCTCGAATTACATCTATCATCGTGCATATGCATAAGCCTTTTCCATGCGGCGGGTTTGTTTTCCGTGCATGACGCGGAAGAGAGCTTTGCCGCCATTCCTCCGCCCCGCGCTCACTTGCCGAAGCGAAGCTCCACGCCTTCCTCGGACCTGGAGCTTAGCTTACAACGACCATGGCCTCGTCGCGCGGCAAAAGCCAGGACATTCTGTCTCTTACTCGCAAGCATCGGCGTTACTTCACTTCGCCTCTCTTATTCTCTTAATACCCTCCTCTGTCCTTTAGCGTTCCATCACAGCCCATCGTCTCACAATGGCTTTCATCCAGAAGGGTCTCAAGAACATTCTCCAAAAGAACCCCCACGATGTTGTCTTCCTATCAGCACTTCGGACGCCAGTCACAAGGGCGAAGAAGGGTGGACTGCGCGATGCGTACGAGCATGAACTTCTAGGAGCGGTATGCTATCCCCAGCACCTACAATACACAGCCAAGTCCTAACAGCATCCCAGGTTCTCAAAGCCACGATGGCCAAGTTCCCCAACCTCGACCCCGCGAAGATAGACGATATATGTGTCGGCACAGTTCTCGCAGAGCTCGGTGGCTCGAAAGCAGGTCGAATGGCAGCGAACCACGTCGGCATCCCCACAACAACCTCCTTCAGCACCGTAAACCGCGCCTGCGCATCCGGCCTCTCCGCCATAACCTCAATCGCGAACTCGATTGCCGTAGGACAAATAGATGTCGGCATTGCAGGCGGCATGGAGAGCATGACACGGAACTATGGCAGCAGGGCCGTACCCACAGAACTCTGGCCGGAGATGAAAGAAAGTCCCGTGAAGGAAGCCAGAGACTGCATAATGGCCATGGGCATAACCTCCGAAAACGTCGCATCACGCTACGGCGTCAGCCGCGCCGACCAAGACGCCTTCGCCGCCGAATCGCAACAGCGCGCCGCCAAAGCACGGAGAAGCGGCCTCTTCGACGATGAGATCGTACCCGTAACCACCCGATGGATCGAGCCCGAAGTCCCCGAGAACACAAAGAGCATCACAGTGACGAAAGACGATGGAATCAGGCCTGGGACAACGGTCGAGAAACTCGCGGAGATGAAACCTGCGTTTATCAAAGACGGCACAAGTACAGCGGGAAACAGCAGTCAAGTCTCCGATGGCGCGTCTGCAGCGCTGATGATGCGTCGGTCCACGGCCACAACGCTCGGTCTGGAATCCCAGATCATCGGCAAATGGGCGGGCACACAAGTCGTTGGTTGTTCGCCTGACGAGATGGGCGTCGGACCCGCGTTAGCTATTCCCAAACTGCTCGACTACACTGGCCTACAAACATCCGATGTGAATGTCTGGGAGATCAACGAGGCGTTTGCTAGTCAGGCGTTGCATTGTATCAGGACACTGGGATTGGAAAATAAGATGGACAAGGTGAATCCGAATGGAGGGGCTATTGCGTTGGGTCATCCGTTGGGAGCGACGAGTGGTAGGATGTTGGCTACGTTGCTGAATGAGATGGGGAGGAGTGGGGAGCAGGTTGGTGTGCTGAGTAAGTGTATTGGAACGGGTATGGGGATGGCTAGTTTGATTGTTAGGGAGTAAGAAAGAACGCGGATAAGAAGCATGGCTTTGTTGTATTAGATTATATGTGCCTTCCTCAGGCAGAAGTGGGTATCGAATTAAGACGAATATTAACGCCGTGGTATATGCATCGCTATTTCCACTCCTGTGGCTATCCTCTATGCCTTTCCTTTCCTACTCTTCTTCTTTGACCGCTCAGCTAGAATCTCGTCGAGGAAACTCTTGGGTTTTATCTTCGCTTTCTTGGGTGCTGGCTGTGTGGCTTCCGCTTCTTCATCTTCCTCCTCCTTCTTGATGGATTTTGCGTCTGGTTGAGCTTCTGTGGCGACCTCTTTTGGTATTTCCTCGACCTCTTTCACAGTGCCGCCTTCTAACCTCTTCGTCCTCGTCTCTTCATCTTCGTCATCGCTATCCGCAGACTTAGCTTCCTGCTTCACCTTCTTCTTCTGCCTTTTAGATTTGAATGTCGCAGCTCTCCCCTCTTCATCGTCGTCCGACTCTTCTTTCTTCGCAGCGAGCTTCTTGTAATGCTGAGCTTTGGATGCTGCATTCGGTCTCGCAGCTTCTTGCTTTGCAGTGATGTGGGCTTTTGCTTTCTTCTTGCCGATCAGTTGTTGCAAAAGTTTGTCGTCTGATGTTCGTATTCTGCTGGTGAAGCTGCCATCTTCGATATCCTTGGGAACTATGCCGCCGACACCGATTCTGGAGACAATGTTAGAATTGCGGTCGGCAGCGCAACAACACGTAGTTACCTGTCGTGAGCGTAATTCTGTTTCAGATCTTGATCATCGTCTTCAACTTCTGTTTTCGCATCACCGTCCGCAGTGCCCCAGTCCGGCCGCGAACCATACAACGATGCCAAGAGTTTCTGACCCTTTGCCTCGAGCAGACTTATGCGATTCGCGATGACATCGCCCTCATTATTCCGCTTAGACATGGTTGCGCGATTATGTAGAGGCGCATCAAGTTCCAGTCGCTTGGTGTTACAGAAGTTCCCGGCCGCGATATTTTTGAGAGGACCCGGTTCATTCTCGGCGCGCTAGCAGACGTCCGCAACAGCCCTGTGAAGCCGCAACACCAACGGAGCTGTGCACTCCAGCTCTACCCCCCTCCAACTCGCCTCCATATACCCACACGTGTGTCTGCCGCTCAGACATCATGTACAACTTTGCCCGCGCCCGGCCGCTGGCTCGCGCTGTCCGCGCCGCTGCTGTATGTCCACGGGCCTACTCCGCAAAGCTGCGAAAGCCTCTTACGCAGCGTGCACCACATTGGGGGGTCATTTGCTAACACGACCTAGGAGACACCGTTGAAGCGCTCTGTCGTCCAGCAAAGGAGAGGTCTCGCCATCCACGAATACAGGTCCGCTGCCCTGCTCGAGTCGGTACGATTACTCCACCGCATGTCCACCAATTTCGAGGGTCCAGATATCTAATGCGAATTTCAGTACGGCATCGGCGTGCCCAAGGGTGGTGTCGCTACCAGCGGCGCCGAGGCAGAGAAGATCGCCAAGGAGATTGGTATGCGACAGCAAGAGTGAATGCAGAGTCGTGGGCTAATGCGCGCAGGCGGAGAGGATGCTGTCATCAAGGCCCAGGTTCTCGCTGGAGGCCGTGGAAAGGGTACCTTTGACAATGGCTTCAAGGGCGGTGTCAGAGTCGTCTACTCGTATGCTACTTCGCAACCACAACACGACCGCGGCTACCCTCTAACACAACATGCAGTCCCCGCGAAGCCTCCATCCTCGCCGACCAGATGATCGGCCACAAGCTCATCACCAAGCAAACTGGAGCCGCCGGTCGGCTCTGCAACTCCGTCTTCATCGTCGACCGCAAGTTCGCCCGCCGCGAGTTCTACCTCGCCATCCTCATGGACCGCGCTTCACAAGGACCCGTAATCGTTGCTTCGTCGCAAGGTGGAATGGACATTGAGACTGTTGCCAAGGAGCACCCCGAGGCCATCATCACCACCCCCATTGACATCCACAAGGGTGTCACCGACGACATTGCCCGCAACATCGCGACCGAGCTCGGTTTCTCAGAGCAGTGCATCGAGGACGCCAAGGACACCATCCAGAAGCTGTACCAGGTCTTCATGGAGAAGGACGCTACCCAGATTGAGATCAACCCTCTCTCTGAGACCACCGACCACCAGGTCCTCGCCATGGACGCCAAGCTCAACTTCGACGACAACGCCGACTTCCGCCAGAAGGAGGTTTTCGACTGGAGGGACATCACCCAGGAGGACCCTGAGGAGGTCAAGGCCGCCAAGGTTGGCCTCAACTTCATCAAGCTCGACGGTGACATTGGCTGCCTTGTCAATGGTGCCGGTCTCGCCATGGCCACCATGGACATCATCAAGCTGAACGGCGGTGCGCCCGCTAACTTCCTCGACGTTGGTGGCGGTGCTACACCTGAGGCTATCAGGCAAGCGTTCGACTTGATCACCAGCGACCCCAAGGTCACTGCCATCTTCGTCAACATCTTCGGTGGTATCGTCCGTTGCGACGCTATCGCCAAGGGTCTCATCCAGGTTGTCAACGAAATGAACCTCAAGACTCCTGTCATTGCTAGGTTGCAGGGTACCAACATGGAGGCTGCTCACAAGCTCGTAAGTCACGCCGAAGGGACAAACTTGATATATATGCATGCTAACACATCATGTTCCAGCTTAACGACTCAGGCCTCAAGATTTTCTCCATCGACGATCTCCAAGCCGCCGCTGAGAAGTCCGTCCAGTTCTCAAAGGTCGTCAAGATGGCCCGCGACATTGACGTCGGTGTCGAATTCACTCTTGGTATTTAAACTCTTTCAGCATGAACCCTTTGCTGGCTGACCACGTTTGTGCATGATAGGTTTGTAGATAGATGGAAGCCGAACTTGAGCAAGCGGTGTGTCTTATGAAAGTTTGTTTGGTCTTTGATTTGTTTGTTTTACGTGCGATGTGTGTGCGTGGAGTGTGTTTTTCCTTGTGGTGACCACGTGAAACGAGGTAGCGCGAGACGCTGACAGCTTACCCCGCCGACGTGTGACCACTGACCCAGCTTGATGATGATAATGATGATCACCATCCTCACGACACTCCGATCTGGTCGAAATAACAGTTCACAGACCCAATTATCGTATATACGCTCATTGTTGAAGCGGACAAAACATCGCGTAGACATGATGGCTTTTAGGAAGGGCACAGAACGACCCAACGGACGCACCGCATCTAGGTCTCTTCCGGCTGCTTTGGGAAAACAGCACGACAGCACGCACCACATACGCTGTACGCCCGTGATTTTGAAAAGAGCACTGCTCATAGTTGGTAAGACGGACATTTTTGTAGAGGAGAGCACTGCTCATGTCCCAGAATAATGGTGATTTAAGAGAGAAGAGCACAGTTCATGCCAATCCAGGTTGAGCTTTTTAGGAGAAGAGCAGCACACCTCATCCAGGGAAGACTGCCTTGTTTTGGAGAAATACAGAGAAGTGTGGATAATGAAAAGAAGCAGAGAAGAGAGGCGAGCAGAGATATTTATATCCCTTTCTCCACGCCGACCGCACATAACCTCTTTCTCGGAATCTGTTGGTAGTGTGTGTTGATGGAGGGGTCGGAAAGACGATCCTCATCCAAAAAGTACTTTTCTGGTTCTTAGTAAGAGAGGGACGAGACACTCCGCACAACATGCGTGGTCATTCTTTATGTTTTCCAGTATTTGAAGTGGAAAGTGGGCGTAGGAGCAGAGAAGCGGCGAGAGGAGGTTTATATACCCGTGTCCTGGCTCGTGCGCTGCACATGTACGGTACTGCCGTCTTTTTCGATCCTCGAAATGCTTTTTGAAAAGTTGAAAGAGTGCTTTTCATATCGCAGTCTCGAACTCTTTTTGAAATGGAGGAAAGGCTCTTTGCTCAACATCAAAGTATTTTGATGCTTCTTGGATAGAGCAAGGTAGAAGTGGAGTTTCGGGAGGAGGCCAGAGAAGAGACATGAAGACATCAATGTGTAACTTTAATTCACTTGCCCACTCCACATGATCAGTACATCGAGATCTTTGTGATACTCGATATGTTTTGCAGAGGTCGGAGGAACAATCCTCACATATCGAAATAGCGCCATGTTTTGACTCGGAGGAACAAGACCATGATGCCTAGTGCTCCTACTTTTTGGACAGTGCAAGAGGATTGGGAATGTAGGAAGAAAGTTGAGAAGAGGCAAGAACCGAGCTTTTATAATGTTTAGGAGGATTGGCAGGCGCACTTGTAGACGTTTCCGTATCCTTTTGAGTTTTCGATGTCTTCGCAAAATGGTGGAGTCGAGAGTCTCATCCACTTGCTTGGATGCAGTTTTAGAGAAGGCGGTGATACCGCGAACATAATGTACTGCGGTGTATTTTTCTGTAGAATTGGAAAGACGCATAGGTGTACAGAGAAAGACCAGAAGGAGCAGCGAGCGCAGGCTTTTATATTACTTTGATAATGTCTACTTGCATATGATCATCACGATGAGCTTTTTGTTGATACTCGGTATGTCGATTTAAGACCGAAGTCGCTTTTCATGGGTAGTGGTAAAAGTCACTTAGGAAGACGCGCAGCAGTCGCGCACAGCATGTACATATTCCACTTTGGTTTTGGAGAATGCACGGAAGTTGCCGATAGTAGGAGGAGCTTTGAGGCAGAAAGGGCCGGAGACGAGGATTCATACTGCGCGACTGAGCGTTTGGCGCACATGACTGGTCGGTATCGGCTTTTTTTATGGGTACTGAGTGTGTTCGTAAAGGTCGGAGAAGCAATGCTCATATGCATACATGTTATTGTTTTGGAGAGGAAGAACGCCACGCACAGCATGTATGGTTCATTGATTCCTTTTGGAGAGAATGAAGAATTTTAAGAGTAATGAGGAGGGAAGTAGAAGGACAGGCAGCTTGGGGTTTTATGGAAGCTAGAAGAGGCGCTCAGTCAGCATGAGTGCCTTATCTTCTCAGAGGCCAGGTATATGAGTTGAACGCATCGGAACGCTTTGCATATGTAGGCTCCCAGCTGCGTTTAGTCTTGCTCATGCGAAGCCACCGCATTTTGATGTGTCGCTTTTGGCATCTGGCTACGCGAGAGAAGGCCATGAGGCAGGTTATTGTAGTTTTGGAACCGATGTATGGGCGGAGACGCAGGCAGCTATCCATAAGCTTCTTCAGCGATTGTTTGAGGAAAACTTAAAGTCGAGGTTGCGGAAGGAGAAGAGCGGCACACGGTGAGGAAGTTTTCATGCTTCCAACTCTCATGTATTGAGCCATCACGATTTTTAGCTTCACTGAGTGTCAGCGCATGAGATGGCGGATAGTTTCGCATCTCTCCAGCATGGCATGACCTTGTCGTGCAGATGCACGACCATAAGGCCATGCGAAAAGGCTTTCAGTAGACCGAGACTGGTGCTCAAAGATGCTCGTCGGTTTGTGCAGATAGATTTTTCGGAGAAGAAAAGACGACAGAACGCCATTCCAGCTAGCAGGACCACTTTTCGTAAGCACGTAGATTAGGTGTTGTTTAAGGAAGAGTAGTCCATTCGCGAGAGAGGCGTTTATGTACTCAGCCCTGCACTAAAACCGCCCATGAGCAAGATGTATATGAGTGATACAGCGAGGGTGAGATTATCAGTCATTCGGTGATCCCATGCGTTGTGCCGTTGTAGGATTTGATAGTTAAAGAGAACGACATCAGTCGTTCCAAGTGTGTTTTCTGGTAGTTGATCAAGCTGGTCGCAGACATGACCCAATGATGATGAAGCTTGTACTCTCATCGTTGACTTGATCTTTCTTTTCGACTTTGTGTAGCAGCGGAGGTATCCTGAGAAATCCTGGTACTTGCTGGGCCTTTCGCGCATGTAAACCTTACACATGACTTTACAAAGCGATGTTTTTCGTGCAATGATACTAGAGGTAGTGAGTGGATCGCGGTGACCTCTTCACTGCTGAAGGACATGAAATCTGAGTGGCGCATTTTGAGACCGCCAAAGCTTTCGAAGCCGCATTGATGGCTTTGAATATTGTTTTGAATTTGAGTGGCTGGTTGTGGAAAAAATAGATGTAGCTCAAGCGAAGGGTGTTTATACGTGGGGGAGACTTCTCCGGTGCGCTAGTGCCACCCCGAGCTCCGACGTTTGGTATGACACCAATGTCCATTTTTACATGAGTCAGCACATCAGCGGAAATGTGATAGTTCTGTCATAGCATTGAAGTTCATCATACGATGTTGCTGCTTATAGAAATCATACACCGAAGTCTCCTTTTAATGTCAGCTTGAGCAAGTCGTCCTTGACAATCTCTTCCTTGCGACTGAGAAGATCCTCCACATCCCAGTTCGCAGCGATGAAGCGACCGCTCAAGAACTTCGCCTTCTCTTGACACAGCCAAACGGCAGTACCGCCAACAAGCTCCGGACTGTCTTGGTTGAAGAGCGAGCGGAAGGGCTCACGCAGCATGTCGGTCGCGACAAGACCCGGATGCATCGATACGGCGGTAACATTCGGGTACTCCGCAGCGACGTACGTAGCCAACGCGTCGAGGATGAACTTGGACATGAAGTAGGCGCCAAGCGGCGGAACGGTAAAGAACGCCTGCCATGAGCTTACGTTGACGATCGTGGCAGGTGTATCGGGGCTGGGCAGTAGGCGAAGGAAAGAGCGGATGAGCAGATAGTTGCCTTTTCCGTTGATCTCCTACAATGAATGTATCAGTTCATGCGCTTTTGACTCAGGTACTGCGGGATGAGCAGCGAACGGGACGGATCTTACGAAGTTCCTCCACCATTGATCGGGGTCTGTGTCGTGCAGTTTCGGTCCGTCTCCAGTCATGGCGCCGGCTGCGTTGACGAGGACATCCGCGTGGCCGAATTTCTGCCGGATCGCTTCGAAGGCGGCCTCGACGCCTTTCGTGTCGGAAATGTCGAGGGCGTATGTAAGCGTTTCGATGTTGGGGTCCGCCTCTTTGACCGACTTCTCAGTAGCTGCGAGCTTTTCGGCGTTGGATGCCAGCAATGCAACACCCTTTACACCGGCCTTGACGAAGGCCGGTACCATTGCCTGCGAGAGCAAGTCTTAGCAGACGCAATAATGACGCGAATTCATGGCGAAAGGGGAGCGTTTTCGGTCAATTGTTTCAACATACCATGGCTCCTATACCACGCGAAGCGCCAGTGATGACGGCTACCTTTCCTGCCAGGCTATGTTCTGGGATACTGGGATCGATGGCAGGGTACGCGTCTTGGTGTGCATTCTTCGTGAACTGCATAGACGTGACATAGAAGTCTTTCGGAAGCTTGCTGAGGTCTGCCATCGTGAATGTGCTTTGGGTTCGGATGATACGAAGAATACGCTGTAGCAAGATAGCGCAAAGATACTAATCGGAGTCTAGAAGTACCACAGTCCACTGTGTTAACTTATGCGAGGCTCTGGGGCCAGAGGCCCCGCATTCGGGCTGCGATAATCGCCTCGTCGTGTCCCCACCCATGAAGCACGACTTGGCCATAGCAAACCATGTAATAAAAGCGTTGGCGTGTTGACACCGGGGCGTCGGCAGTGAGGTGTTAAGGTTGCGGAACGTCCCAAGCGAAGCCCGTTGGGAATGTTTGAGCGAACGAAGGCGATGATCGTCTCCGCTTAGAGATTAGCGTAGGATTGCGGACCCTGTTTTTGACATTCACCTGAGATCGATGCAGAACCCCCAATTTCCTCAATCCGGTCCGAATCGTATCGACATCGCTATCGGCACGAACTCATTCGTCTAGCGACTCGTGGTTCCGATCCGACAAGCTTGTTCAGAGCTGCTCACATGCCCACGCAATGTTTTTCCAAACTCTGGGGATCTGACATGTCGGAAGCGAGGACGCACACATCGGAATACCGAGGTGTGACGACGTTAACAGGAATGCGGGTACCCGAAAACGATAGATCGTGATGGCAGCATCAGGGGCAGTAAGACATGTCGTGATAGCGGAACCCACTCTGCATGTTGTCTTCTCGGCGCCCTGATCGACCGAATGCACACCCATGCGGGTGAAGGGGTCGCGGGAAATTCTTTGGCGATCTTATACCAGCTGTGAATGTAAAGCGTTCCATCCATTCTCTTGGAACCTTGGTCTCTGCAGCATTGTTTGTATACTTCAACAGCCCAAGAATGTCAAACCTCTCCCCACTCTGGCCCCATTCAACTCCGCAAGTTGTTCGAGAGCACCAGCTGTAGCTCAACACAACCAATACGTACTGAACGGCAACTATAACTCACAAAGTAATTCAGAATGACACTTCATGAGGTAAGCTGAACCGAATGGGACGCCTTGAGTGGCGCTGACTTTGATGCAGGATCTAGGCCCCAACCTCACGGCGACCGTCCTTGTGACGGGGCTGCTTGCCTTCATCACTATGGGTATGCGGGCGTATGTCAGGATCACCAAGCATAACTGGGCTCTTGAGGACTGGGTTATGGCAGTAGGATGCGTATGTATCTAACCTTCACAGTCGTCGAGAACACACTGAGCTCACTCATCGCAGTTGCCTCTCATGACACTGACTATCGTCACCACTATCGGCTCCTATTACGGCATCGGCGCCAAAGACAGTACTTTTGCTAAGCCTGGCAACCAGAAATACGTCGAGACAGCATATTTCGTGAGTCATCATCCAGTGTAGCACGGAATTGGTCGGTCGCTAACAACATTCAGTGGTTCTTCCTCTACGAGGTCTTCTACTGCACATCCATCATCTTTGTCAAGCTCAGCATCGCCTTCATGCTGAACCGGATAGCCGGCAGGAGGTTGGTTTACATCTACATCAACTACGGCATCATGGGCCTCTGCGCGGCGACCAATCTGGCAGCTATCCTGTATATCATCTTCCAGTGTTGGCCAGTGGAGTAAGTACACGACGATCTGGTGTCATGTGGGCAATGCTGACCGTATACCTCTCAGGGCTGCTTGGAGGGCTGATCTCATGGCCGAAGGTACCTACTGCCAGCCTCCGGTCTACCTACAAAACGTCTACTTCTTCTGCACTTCGGTTAACATCTTCACTGACTGGGCTACTGCGCTCATGTGAGTAACTCAAAATCATGCTATTGAGTGAGCACTAACGAAGACCAGGCCAATCGCTCTGCTATGGAATGTGCAAATGAACAGGAACACCAAGATCTCAGTTGGTGGCATCCTGAGCTTGGGCATCTTGTACGGCAACTCAAAAGTCTGATAACTATCCACCGCTGACAGCGCTCTAGTACATCTATCTCAGGCTTAGTCCGCCTAAAGTACACCGTTGGCCTTACGAGCAGCCACGACTATCTTTGTAAGCACCTCCAGACCCCCATCACATCACAGCACTAACATCGCATCCAGATGGCCTCGCCAACATCCTCATCTGGGGCTACGCCGAACCCGCCCTCGGCATGCTCGTCGGCAACATCGCAACCCTCCGCCCACTCTTCCAGCGCCTCCTTCACCTAGGCTCAAGCGGCTCTCATCAGCCTCGCTCAGGCACACCCCACGGTGTCAGCAACCCCGACCGTTCGCACCGTTACAAGCCTTTTGACACCGAGCTCGAGCTCGGCACGGTCACAGACAACCAGGACACGCACATGCCGGCGATCAAGGTTCATGCGGGACGCGTTAGTGTATCGAGTGACAGCGAGAGCCAGAAGGAGATTCTGGAGAAGAACGACCGGTTTTTGAGTAACAACAAGGATAGTATTGTTGTTAGTCGGCATGTGGAAATTAGTCGCGATTAGTCGCTCGTAGGAGTGGCTACTTGACTGTCTGAGAGTTGCGCGAGGGGAGCAAGTACGGCAGGTTCATGACTGTATTATATTGTTCATATATCATGTCTCTCGTTATCATCAGAAGAATGAAAGCCTTTTCCTCGTATTTTCACTGCACCAGCTCGATCGTGGCAGTCGTAACGATTTCAAAGAGCTCCTTCGCACTGGCTAGGGAACCCACGCGAGACCAGATCGCGCTGCTCAAGGACATTTGATCTTAGCACCCGTCTCTAGAGCCGTCCCTGATCCCACTTGACCCTGGTTTTCTGGAGTACAATGCTCTGCGCAAGCTTGGCACGTGCTAACGAGGCGTTAGGTGCGATCTCGTTGGTTCCGACAACGACAGTTTTCTCATTCAATCCCTCATGACGCAGTGTCGCGAAACTCTTCGGTAAAGAAGAGTGTATACGCGAAGGTATACATCTCGTCATTCTCGTCGTATAGTACGACAAAACCTTAAGGCAGCAACCATGTCGTTTATGAGTACCAGTTCTTACAACATTGCGGTCTTTTAGATGTGGAGACATCGTAGTTGCGCGATAGTTGCAAAATCATTGCATTGATCTGCTTGAACTCAAATACAGTGGGAAGAGAATCACTATATATGTAGATTCACGAAGGAGGGCTTTGGTGGCGTCCATCACTATTCCGATGCGACCGTTTTCTCATGCAAATTTTCAAAAGCCTGCAAAGAGGGAGACATAGAACTCCTTTTGAAATGGTTTGTTTGAACAGGAAAGCCGCAGCCCAGCCAATCCCGTGTTCTTGAGGGATCTTTGTTTTTGGTGACAAGCATCGTATTTTACTGTCTAAACAACGACGTGAGGGCGTAGCTTTATACGCAAAAGGTGGAATGACACTAGTTCTCTTGTCGCTAGATCGAAGAGCGGACATCAGCTCTAAGTGTTGCTTTTTGGAAGGTTGTCAGCAAAGCCACCCTACATGTCTGCGAGCAACTGCAAATGGCTGTCTCATAAGACGTGAATAAAACATTTTGCAAAGATGAGCATCCAAGTCGATGCACACATTGTTTTTTAACTCGCACAGTCTTCGGTGTCGACTTCTCACCACATCGCTTAGTTAGTTGGACATTTTAGAGGACAGTCACTCAGCAGCAACATAAAGCCGAGTCTTGGAGACAGCGAGAAGCATCATGTGCTTTATGTACAACTTCGATCCAACAGGGCACACACATGATCTTGTCTTTGTGTTGTTTAGAAAGTCCCGAAAGGCCGCGGCCATCATAGACCCCCGCGAACTTTTGAATTGGATGCAAATTGAAAGATGTAGAAGATGAAAGGAATTACTCGGAGGAAAGACACTTTATATGCAAGCAGCTCTGTGTGCTATTGCCATTTGGTAGGCTTCTCTAGTATCAAGAATCGCGAAAGCAACATGGGTTAGTTGTTGCTGTGTTCCTTAGTCAAAGCAGGACAGCACATGAAGTTGGCATCGAAGACTTTTGGAACGATAACAGCGCGCAAGGTCTCTCAGCGCGCATCAACTCTTGTATACCGGATTTTGGAGACTTTGGCGATGACTCAATGTGGAAGAACGCTTGAGCACATTGCGGACACAGGGCGCTTTTTAGCTTCGTGGGAAGAGAAACTCAACTCTTTCATTGGGTAGGATGAGATGAACTTTGGAAGACTCGAAATTCCATGGCCGATGTAGGTCCACCGTTCTGGAAGAGAAGGCGACAGGCGAGAACATGGAATGTATGCGATTGATTTTGGAAAGGCAGAGGGAGCAGGACTCCATTCAATGGATCGAAACTCGTTTTGGAAAAGTCCGAAAGGCTGTAGAGGTTGAAAGCAAGAGTGAGAAGAGGAGAGGGAAGTATTTATACCGCCAGCGCACGGCTTCAGGATGCGATGTGAAGCCATCGGAGCAGTACGCGCGCCTCATGTCGTTTTCGTAACTCGTTTTGGTATGAATCCAAGGTCTGTGTATATCGATGCATCGAACTGCCAGTCGTTTCGCGAAGTCATATGAGACCGTTCGATAGTTTTGTTCAGATTCTTCCGCGCACCATCCACAATCTGTCACCAAGAAATTTCACATGGGATGCTTGCAAAGTTGTTTTGTTCGCAGGACACAACAAACATCTATCCAAGAGTTTTTTGAATCGCTCAACAAAGATGCAGTCGGCAAAGCACACCATCGACGTGCAACCGTAGATTTTTGATGCAGGCGTACCCTCCATGGAAAGTGAGGGTCTTGTCTTGAATCTGGTCTCGACGTCCACTCATGCGGGCTCTCTGCTTTCCATTTGGAGAAGGCAATCGAGTAATAATGGATGATAGAAAGAACGGCTGGGAAAGAAGACAGACGGTATTTATACCTCTCAACGCGGGAAGCGCTCGAGCTAGTGCGCCTAGTTAGTCTCATAGCGCTGGTACACCCAAACGGTTTGCATGTACTCGCGCACCACTGTCCAACGTCGTGCAAGCCTTCATGGGAAACATTTGTTGTTATTCATTGGCATTACGCCGACCTCAAGGGTAATCGTTGGCTTTCGTCATCATTCTGCTTTCCCAATTTGCCATCATAAAGAGCCATCCTCATCCCTTTACTGTCCACCAGTCTGATTATCCTTCTGCTCCATACCCACGCTCCTACCACCAGCCTTGGTGGTATCGCCAACGAAGTTACCCGCCGCTATCACAACACGTTAGCACCAGCTTCATCTCCCTTTCCTCATCCGTTGCGTCATCACTCACCTTTAGTAGTATCACCAGCGCCCTGGGTAATACCCGTAACAGCATCACCGAGTCCCTTTCCACCAGCCGCGACGACATTGCCGGTAGCGTCAGTGACGCCCTGGACGCCCTTGCCGACGGTGTTTGTTGCGGCGCCTAGAGTGTTTCCTGGATTGTTAGCAAAGACTCTGATCTATACGTTGTCGTGATGCTTAAAGAGCGAAAAGGTAGATGGAACATACCGAGACCGCTGGCAGCGGTGCCGAAGAAGCCCTTCTGTTGGTTGTTCTGGTCAGACATGATTGCTTTGTGTGGTAGACTCGTGCTGTGATTCGGGTCGAGATATAGAGTCTGATGTAAAGATGTCTGAAGTTTCGGTTTGGGAAGTGTTGAGAGTGAGGTGTAATGTGCTTACTTCGGCCAGCCTGATGTTCTGATATGTGGTTGACCACTCTGTCCTTATGACGTAGCCAGTTGCGCCATCCTCACCTGCATCCCTGCTCGCTGCCCCTCACCTGGAAGTTGCGCAAAGACGCGCAACGCTCCTGCCGTCTGCAAACGTCCCGCAGTAAGATCGACGTTTACATCACATCACATCATTGGCGGGGAACGTGCGTTCAACGGTTCCAGGGGCGGACGCAGACTTCCCTTGGCCCAGGCGCATCGCAGACAGTATCACAGACAGAAGCAGAGTCATAATTTTTTACCAGTTTATTCGAACTAGATCAAGCTATTGCACAAAGAGTCATCTCCTCATAGATCTTGCTCTCGTGTACGCAGGATCTTTTTCGCAAGTGCATGCCTAAGCAAGTTTGCTATCGTCGGCGGACACCGCATCACCAAGCCACCACTCTCTGTAAGAGGAAAAAAGAAGGAAAGGAGGATAACATGCGCACGAAGGGGGAGTGGGATTGGAGAGACCTCCACAGGAAGACACGGTACTTCTTTTACCTCTTGGTCCTCCCTAACCCAAGGAAATCGCAGCGCAAAGAAAATATGAAGGACTGAGGAAAACTCGGCCAAAATGCCCACCCAGGGCGCTCGTGAAAAGCGTGTGGTGTAGACCGTCCCTATCTTCAGATCCGGAACGCCGTCATGAAGCATGCGTATGAAAAGAGTCATCGAGGCTTGTACCAACCAATGGTTTGAACACCCAAACCCATTTCGTGAGACCGGCCGTCAGACAACAAGAAAACTTTTGAAATCCACCGCTCTTGAAAGTCGCAGTAATGAAACCCCGCGAAATGCAGAACAATGCGCGCGCTGATGCCCCCTTCTATGCAACGAAACAAGCGATTAGATTACCGCGTGCGGTGTGGTCTATGGGTATAACCGTCACGCGCTCGAAAGGAAAGGTAATCACTCGGAAGGCTTGGCCTCCGCGTCGGCAGCAGACTCATCTGGAGCGTTGGATATAGAGCCAGCCTCGCCGGCGTCTTCGTTGCTAAGAGCAGCAAGTGCACTGTGCATTTGTTAGTAAAGATGTCAACAGTCAGCACGGGATCTTACCTGAAAGCGTTTGCATGAGCAGTGGCCTCCTTCTCCTTCTGGACTGGTGGTGTGCCATTGCGCGAAGAGGCGTTGGAGTCTTCACGACTAGCCATGCCGGGACCGATACCACGGCGGCTACCGGCGCGGTTACCAAGCATGGACGGGCCGAGAGCTCCAGGGTTGTTGAGGTTGCGTCCAGAAGCACCCTTGGACAGCTTGCGGAGATCGTCCATTTGAACACGGCTGCCAGTGTCTGGAGGAGGCTGCATGCCACCACCTGAGAACGAGCGAGCGTCGCCGCGACCCATGGGAAGACGGCCACCGCCACCGCGTTGGTTTGATCGTGTGCGCTCCATCTCGGCGGCCTGTTGGGCTGCCATGGCTTCTTGATGAATCTCGGCGATAGTCTTGGGACCCTTAAGGATGTCCTTGGACTTCCAGCCGGACTTGCGCATGTCGACGGTGTCAAGCAACATGAAGTGCATACGAGAAGGAAGACCCTCCATGTTCATGACCTTCTCGATGCGCTCGAAGTACATGTTGATCATCTTGGGGCCGGCTTCGGCGGACTCCATCGTGGCACCGACAGTGCGTAGCAGCTTGACCAAGCTCTCAATAGCGGCCTCATCGGGGAGACCCTCAAAGTCGAGAAGCTTGAGCACACACTCGTGCATGATGCGCAGAGTCAACATACCCAGCTTGTATAGCTCTCCGATGAACTGGATCAGACCGAGACCCTTACGCTTGGCTGCAGCGGCAACGTAGTACTCGTCTGAC